CGTTTATCCCTGACAACAGTGACATTATTAACATGTTTTACTCCACAAGTATACAGGATATATATATATATATATCCCATTCATGATGCTTATTCACTGCAGTTGAACTAAACCAAGTTTTACTTAAACTAGTTCGTTTTAAACTGGATACATTTCATTCCACTTTATTTAATTCGTTCTGCCTACCTGAATCATAGTCTACTAACTTGCACACGTTGCTTACGCTAATTGCGCTTGTCTTCTTCAACTTTATTGCGTTTGTAGCATTTAAACTTTTAACTTGTGGATATTTTGTCGTTTTCGCGGACTCGTTGCTAACCAACTTACTTCGTATGCTAATTTGCGAAGAGTTTTGTCCGCAAAGCCGTATGCTTTAACAGATTTACGTTATTCGGTAATGTGAATTCAAATGATTGGCTATTATTTGCCATCCCCGAGTTGACTGCGCTTGATGTGCATGTTGACAAGGTGCCTACCCGTTTATTACCCACTACCTCTTCCATACTGACTCCAGGAGACAGTTGGTCGTTGCTGGACGGGACGGGGTGCACGGTCCTGGTCGTGTTAGGCTCGAAGTGTGGTTCCATACACCCAGTGTGGAGTGAACTACGGTCCAGCCACTGCATTGTGTGCGATTGACTCTCAAATATGGCGTGCTTGTGTTTGCCTGTGAAGGAGTGTGGGCCGGCTCCTTTGATGAAACGTGGCTCCCATCCACATGCATCCGGTCTTATTCCTTCGAGTTTACACTGGATATGTGGTGTGTGGCTGGAGCTGTGGGTGATGCAGCGCAAGCCACCCATGGTCCCCCTGTAGACGCAGGCGTCCTGTGGTTGGCCACAGTGACCTGCAAATCCGAAACCGGATGCCGCCAGCCATTCAGGACAGTAATATACTTAACCACCCATGCGATAGTCAAATAATCGCCTTAGCGTTGGCTTACATCACTCAAGCAGTGATCAACAAAAATTGAGAAATATGCATGTGTAAAATGGGTACCTTTCTGCCCAAGCTTACCCAACGTGTTTAAAATGACTAATTGGATACTCATGACGAAGTGCCAATCGACTACGATTTGGAAGCATATGAGGATTTTGAAGATGCTCTAGCTGCTAATCCAGAAGCGGACTGCTTATGACGGGCTTCAATGTAGTGCCAACAACTGCACCCCTAATATTTCCAGTGAAGATGTGCAACAGACCAGCAGACCCCAGAGCCACTTCGTGTTGTGTGTATATCGGAACACGTATAAGTTGGTTGTCTTGATCAAACCCATATCAAAGCTTGGAAATGACTTAGTACAGGTACACATGAGTCGGCTTAACAAGTCCTGTGGGACAACCACAGATTGCATTCAAGATAAGAAGATATAATTTCATCAGTAAAGGTGCGTATTAAAGAAACGATGAGCCTTATTGCTATAAACTTCCTGGTTGGGTTTCGACTGTCCTAGTCGGAACAGATGAATTTCTTTACTCGTTGGTTCCCACGAGCGGAGTAGCTTAGACGATTCGGATGGGAACGGCTTGTGGACTTAGCCGGCAGAAGTGAACTCGTAACTGATAAGGCAGACGGAACGCGTAAACGCCGCACAACTATACCGAGACCCGCAGAAAGAAGACTGGACAATAGTAAGAGTGTGTTTACTAACCCAACCAGAGCAACCGTGCTTTCCACACCTTCATATTTATAGTTCACCAAAACATATGCACTTATAACATCCAATTCCAATTCAACAATGCATTATACTGACAAGTAGATAGAGTATCGATGGGGTCACCTTTCGGACCACTGTTGGTTGACATATATATGGGAATGTTAGGGGATAGCCTATTAAGCTCGGTCATTTTGAGCCTACGTTTCTGTCGATGTTATGTTGACGACATATTCTGTATAAGTGATCAGACAAATAACTTGCAGAATGTCGCCGAGTGTTTTAACAAGGCACACTCCAACGCCTCTTTCACAGCTGAACAAGAAGTGACAAATAAATGCACTTCTTGGATGCGAACCTTAATCGAGAAGAAGACGGATCAATCCAGATAGGTTTATATACAAAACCGTACTGAACAGGCCAATACACAGACTTCCGGAATTATGTGCCAATTAGCCGTAAAAGAACACTAGTACATACTCTGACGAATCGTGCATGGAAGATCCATAGTGAGGACACTATTGAAGATGCAATGAAGCGAAGCAGACAAACGCTTCACGAAAACGGTTATCCAGAACGATTCATTGACGTTCATATGAAGTCTAGTAGTTCAAGATCAACAGTACAAACGGTAGATAAGGAAGCTATTTCTCCAGCTTTCCTTTAAGGATGACATACCGGCTGAGATATGCACACGAGGACTGATACAGGCTTGCCGAAAGACTTTAAATGCAGCTCAAGTTTGAGTCATTTTTGCAGACAGTTCACTCATTGCTCCTATATTCAAAGACAAGATGCCTAATCAACGCCAATCAATGGTAATCTAACGGCTCACCTGCTCCTGTGGGGTTAGGGTGCTCACGACCAAGCAGTTAGAAAAGCGAATCAAGGAACAGTTACCGAAGTCGCTCGTCAAGCAGTAGGACAAAACTAAGTTGTGTGCAATAGTTAACCAGCTGATCTGCACCGGTTACCTGCATGATAAGCGCAAGTCATTTGAGATCCTGTATGGAGCGCCATCGCGGCTACACCATAGGTCAGGGGCACGGCTGCTCGCTACCGCTGTAGCGGTACGCATCAGATTGACAAAACCTAATCTATGGTTTCAGAAAAAAACATGTCCAAGCATTGCAACTACCCTGGCCAGCCACTAACGGATGGATCGGACTCCACTCAGTGGTGTCACATGTCTTCAGGCACGTGATCACATGACACATGTTACGTTACAAAATGAAATTTTTGTTCGATCATTGGTTACTCTTTGTAGTCCGAAAGAACTACTCTTCTCAATGTATATTTATAACAAGTCTGATGACGAATACATCGAAAACAATTGTTTGCTTTAAGCGTACCGCTTGCTTTTCCTCTTGCAATATACGGTAATAATTGTATACAGTTTAAGAGAAAGCGTATGGTTGTTGGCACATGAGTTGCCATGTAGTGGTCCCAGATTCTTAATGACTCAGGGAAGTGTTCTGCTACACGTTCTGACAAACCACTAGTCGTGCGTCCAATATAACTTGCACCACAGATGCAAGTAAATTGACACAGGCTTTGTGATTTGGACCAGACCGAAAGTTTATCCTTGTGATGTGTTACAAATGGTGCAGTCTGTGCAAGACACGCGGCTAAGAGGCTGGGTAGGTTTTGCCCACTGCGCAGCATCCCCTCTAAATAGAAGTAAAAGAACCATGTTTCTTTTGTACAGTTATTGCGGTGTCCAGGCGCACCCGAATCGTTGCATGCTTTTCGATAAACAGAACAGGAGATCCGTTCTCTTGTAACGTACTAAAAACACTATTTTTCTCGGCACCCAATGTGCCCGAGCTACAGATTCTGGCGGCACGATAATGCAAGCAACGAAATAAGTTTCGGTTAAACTGCTAAAGTATAAAGCTTAAAAAGTGGATATAGTGGCCGACTCATGTGGTTTTCGAAAAACGCTTCTCTCCAGAGAGCCGTCATTTTAGCGGAACATCTAAAAATAGCAGTTTTCCTTCACTCTCGATCTCACTGATGAAATGCAACAATGGATGTACACTATGGAATTGAGCTAATACACAAGGAACGTTTAAATTCAAATCACAAATGATAAATGTATCATTCATATACCTGGGGAAGGAATCAAGCGATAAGCGGCTGTAAGGGCTCACATTGCAGTTTCGCCAAGAAAATATGAGCCAGAATCGGTCCTAGGGGGACCCCAGTGTTACACTATAAAGCTGCATGTAGTAGATACCATCAGATAGGAACTGCTCACTGAAGGTGCATCGCAAAATCAGTTCCATTATGGTGCGTGCCGGAATACCAAAGTTTAAATTACTCGCGACAATGTATTCACAAAAATTGATAGTCTCTAATAACGGAACGTTGATGAAGAGCGATTCTACATCACATGAGTTTATCATTAACAGTTCAATTCGCTATGTGTGTAACAAATTTAAACGAGTCATTTAATGAGTGCAAGTTATTGTCGTACTGGTTTCAACAATTCAACGAGTCACTTCACAACAAAATGGAAGGCGGATGATGATGAGGGCTAGAGGTAGGTGGGGCTGGTGCACCCATGGAAGTCCATATAGTCTGGAGCGAAGTGAGCCCTCAGGAGTTAGTCGAGCAATTAGTTATTTATTGAATTTGTTAGTTTTAACCCCTTCAACAACTTAGTGATCTTGATCTCATTCTGCGCGGTTTCATCCACTGGAACTATCTCACGCGCAAACTTGCTAGTGTCGTGTAAAATGGCCAGAAGCTTGGAGATGTCGACGGATTTATCCATTAGTACCCAACTAGAACTTTTGTCTGGTCTGGAACTTATCACATCAGGATTTGCTTTAATTCTCTGATGACATCTCCATGTTACTTCGACAACACGTTGGATGGCTTCGCATCATCAACCAAGTACTGTTTAGCAGGTGCACCACTGTGATTTTGAAACTATCACCAGCAAGAGACGTAGGTGTCAGATCCGTTAGTCGGTACACTAGGTGTTCGAGTTGGGTGTCGATATGAGCTTGCCCATTAACTGATTGTGCTTTTGAAGTACAAACGGGACTTAGTTCGTTGATGGTATTACGGTGACGCTCGTATCTGTGGCCCGGAGACAGTGGATGCTGAGAAATTTCACACCTTTAGAACGTTGCAAGAGAACGGATACCCTGTTCCGTTTACCAAAATGCACGCAAAGATCCGGGTGCACCTGGAAGACACTTCCGATTCTGGATCGCTACTAAGTTTTCATTTTGATTCTAGGAGAGCTGTTTCCACAGGTGCAGTATAAGATTTGAATTTTGCTTCTCATGAGATCCGAATCTAATTTTGCCTGAAAACATTCATTAGCAATGAACGAAAACGACGGTGTGATATAGAGTCAACGCCAACGTTTCAATGTGTATTTGATACAGTGCAGGAAGAGGGAGATAATAAAATCGGGATTTGGATGAAAGAAAATTATTTATTTCTCTTCAAGGTTCGTTGTTTGTCGGGGTGAAGCACTAACTGCTCGTTGGTTGAAAGACCTTTTCGAATCCGGACATCTCGGATGTATTTTCGTACTCGAGCGAAGTGAGAAGTCAACTCGTCCACAGTATCTTCGTCGCTATCCGTGACTACCTTTGCAGCGCTTGCAGGGGCGGTCGGACGATCAACAGTCGACTTTCTGCCTTTGCGAGGCACCACCACATCATGTGATGCGACCGATTTGTCTGTCAAAGTGTGGTCTGGGTTTCGGGGGATGGGATCCACATCTAGTACTTCCCAACCGTCAGGCCGTAGTTGAGGTAGGCTAACGACTCCACTGGTGCGTGACCGCAGTTCGACAGCCAGTCCGAAACTTTCTATCACAGGTAAGCGGGCTTTGATTGTGAAGATATTCTCCCCGTCACGCAAATCCTCACTCACCACACGGCCATGTCGTTTCCGAAGCACGCCAAACATTCGACCCAACACATCCGGTCTAGCCTGAAAACATAAGCGAAACGAATGAAACCCCCGAGTGAGCGAAGAAACAGTGAGGGGGGGGGGAAATTCAAAAATCCCCGGAGACATTAGTGCTATGTTGAAACAGAATGCAAGCACAAGAGACCAGTGAAAACAACAGTTTGCGTCTTAATCAGGCTGAGAAGCATGTAAAAATGCGGTCATTGCACCTTCGAGATACACATAGCTGAAAAATATCCTAGATATTAACTGAGTTCGCTTTTTAGGCCTGGTTCCAAGCCGGTCATCTTAGCGTGAATTAGGACCAACATGGGACGAGGTTCATTGGCCAGCAGCCAACCTATGAGTGATTTCCAATGAGTTGATCGATGAGAGCGCTCTGCATCTGTAGCTGACACACGAGAGAGTTTATCGGTATCCGGTAGTTTCGCGTGGCACAGAATCTTCATCTAAGTTATTTCTTTTGTAAGCGAGTGCGCGAAGAATATTCTTTTCGGTAATTCTCATCAGGCGAGTACAATTATGAAGCAAAACGTTTGGAGAGAATAAAGCCCGTAGAGGCCTGTACAGAGAGCAATCAACTCATTAACTAGGCAATATGAAAACTAAATCAATGGTTTGATCAATCGGATTGTCGCATTAGGAAGCAGGTGATCAAGGAAGGTCAAGTTCAAGGCCAAGGCAATTTCAGAGCCTGTAGCAGTGTGCGCTGTTTGCACAGCTCTGGTTTTAGAACTTTGATAGCAATAGCTTCAGAAATGCTCAATAAAAGTTTCTTCAGCTGTTTTGGGTATCGTTTAGGGATGGTATAAACGACTCGAAACGACTGGTTTATCTGGACTTGGTGTCCAGTGTCGACCAAGTGTTGTAATACCGAACTGTTGATGGATTTTACCGTGCGGTAAAATCCATCAACAGTTCGGTATTACAACACTTGGTCGACACTGGACACCAAGTCCAGATAAACCAGTCGTTTCGAGTCGTTTATACCATCCCTAAACGATACCCAAAACAGCTGAAGAAACTTTTATTGAGCATTTCTGAAGCTATTGCTATCAAAGTTCTAAAACCAGAGCTGTGCAAACAGCGCACACTGCTACAGGCTCTGAAATTGCCTTGGCCTTGAACTTGACCTTCCTTGATCACCTGCTTCCTAATGCGACAATCCGATTGATCAAACCATTGATTTAGTTTTCATATTGCCTAGTTAATGAGTTGATTGCTCTCTGTACAGGCCTCTACGGGCTTTATTCTCTCCAAACGTTTTGCTTCATAATTGTACTCGCCTGATGAGAATTATCGAAAAGAATATTCTTCGCGCACTCGCTTACTTCTGACTCAAATGGGGATTATTTATGTATTTCTTTTGTATTATATAATCAGACCCACTAAGATTGTAAACACGCTGTATGCCCAAGCTCAGCACAAGGTTTTATCGAGACCTCTGTATCTTCTGGTTCGGGTAGTGGCTAGATCGTGATTTGTGATAGCTGTATAAGTTATCTGTGCTGATGACGGAAAGCCACGACGCAAGGCGCAAACAATGTAATGGGAGCAGCCGTAGTTTTTGTGTAGCGGCATCTTCACATTGCGTCAATTATTGGAACACCGCCATAGTTATCAGCGAGTCACGGTAGTTGTGTTCCTCGACATTAAAGGTGCCTTTAATTCGGATGATCGATGTGCCCTTTGGGGCTGTTTACTGAGGAACGGTGTGCCCGAGAAATATGCAAAAATTTCATAAGGGCGCTGTACACGTATAGATAGGGTTGAGTGAGGGCTTACGACAAACTATTGCCGCCCCACAATATCTCCAGCAGTGTGAGACAAGGATTCCCGACGCAACCTTACCTTTATAACTCCTTCATCGAGGAAGTCATGGAAACTGCGATCACTGGACACGACCTTCAAGGCGTGGAGCTAGGCCCAGGTGAATGACTCACTGACTTGGTGTACCCCGACGACATTGCCCTTATCTGCGACAGCTTTCAAACGTGCCAAGCAGTACTAGACAAATCAGCAGTGGTTGCAAATCGTTATGGGCTTTGTTTCGCTCCGACGAAATTCGAAGTCTAAGATTGGCAGGGACCCACGCCTGAGCTGACCCTTGGTGGGGATCAGCTAGTAGTCGTCGATAAATGTAAGTTTCTAGGTAGCTATATCAGCGCCAGTGGAATGGAAGATGAGATCACGAACCTCACAGCAACAGCTCGATATGCTTTTGCCAATCTTCACTACCTGTGGCGCCGGTGCAACATAATGAATGTCAGAGTTTGCAATGCAGCCGTCCGTCTGTGTGGTTGCGAAACCTAACCGATCAAGTGGACAGACATAAGGTGGCTAGTCACGTTCGATCATCGCTGCCTTCGCAGCTTAGCTCATAGCTGGTGGAAGCACCGGGTGAACACTGAATGTGTTCGGCGTCGTGTACTTGGCGTATGAAGAGCGTGGTCCGCTCAGCACCATTATATCACGCACCAGAATTCGATGGCTGGGCCACGCATTGCGCATGCTAACCCACTGACTTCTGCAACATCCGTTGTTTGCGCGCCGGGGGTGTGGATGGAAGAGGAGGAGGGGAGGACAAGCGATGATCCTCAGTTTGAAGTTGACGTCGGTTAGTGTGTTTTCGGACTGCCAGACTGGCGACGGAAGGATGATGGGCACGTTGGGTTGGATACATTGGCTGATAGGGCGAAGAGCCGACCTCAATGGCGTTTGCGTTGTGACTCCCTTTGTGCCACCCCATCCCGTTTACCTTCCCCCACCAAGCACGATCTCCACCTTGAGGCATATTACGTTACTAAGTAGTCTGTCGCGTTCTATAATTTGCGGTATGTTGCTTTTCGTAGGCCTTATATCTTTATGTATCGTGGCACAATAGTTGTAGTGTGTTCCTCACCTTCAGTTAATGTGTAATGATGATGATGAGGCTGATGATGATGATGATGAGTTCCTGAAGCGGGACATTTAGCAAACGAGACTGAATGATTCGCAAACCATCCGGATTTGTTTTAAAATCAAACTGGAAAGTGTAAGACCATGCTGGAGGACTTTCGATTAAACCGGATATTTTTCAATTTTAACCGCATATACTGTAACTTGTGAGCAGTTTTGGAAAAGAGGTTGCAAAATGTTGTAATAACCCTAGCGGGATCCTCTGTAGGAAGTACTTCAGGAAAACGTCTGAATTGCACGAAACATGCAAAAATGAATAACGAACGATGACAAGACACGCCTCCGTTGAGACATTCGGAGGATGTCTTGGTGCAGATAAAGCAGCATCTGAAGGAAGAGATTCCCGGGGTCAAATAAAAGATTTTCAATTCCATCAAAAAGCTGAAGATCACGCTCAGGTGCCATTATGAGCACAACCGCATCAACAATTCCACGACAATTACAAGCCAACAGGCTTATGCTCACAGTTTCTTGGTATACGCGCCGCAAAAACAAGGAGTTCGCTTTCATCGAAGACGGTCCAACATTCATTCGCGGCGTAGGGAAGATCACGGACGTCATCTTGTCCACAATCAGGGATGGCATAGTGATGGTAACTGTGGCGATGAATAAATAGGGGCTAGGTTACACAAAGACCAATAACGATGACGGCTGCAACGGCGCAAAGTCCTGCACGTTTGTCGAAGGTCTTGTGGTGCTTGCTGATCAATCCGACGCCTGACCAGATGCTAAACACCGTCGCGCAAAAAAACGTTGGGACGGTAAAGCAGCAGGTCTGCAGGAATTGTGCCCTCAGTAAGATGGGGAACTTGACGACAGGAGCAGCAGGAAAGCATTTCCTCAACTAACTGCTATAAATGTTGTTATCTGCTCTCCGTTCACAAATCGTCTATGGTCTACGTAAAATATGGACGACGTCCAATTCGGAAGGGAAAACGGCCTAGGTGATTTAACGGTATGATGAGAGGGAGCAGCGAGGATAAGGTGGGAAACTGTGGAAATATGTGGATGGAAATGGAGATCACGAATTAACTGGATTGTGAAGCACTCTTCACATACCTGTAACTCCACGTCATACATGCACAACATGAGCCGCTGACCGGGTGAAGCCTGGAACGCAGCTATACAAGCCCGGCTGACCGCAGAAGTGAGTAGACCGGGTGACACGTCTTGGACCCAAGCTTCATCTGTCAATCGTTTCCAGTACGGGATACCATTCATTAGAGTTTGCACGGTATTTTGCTGCAGGAAAATGTCAGAGACAGAGAAAAGAGAGAAAGACAAAGTGCACATGAGTGAGTTAAGTAAATGTTTTATGCCTGAAAAGAACGCTTCCAAAGTAACCGGAAAGACAGTGAGGAAAAATGGAAAAGGTGAACAGCAAGATCAGGCGCTGCGAAGCAAACGAATGTGATTGGTAGCCTAGAACGGAAAACGCACGCACGCAACGCCGGTGGATGGTAACAATCGACCGAACAACCTCCTCGTGGTGCCAGCTGGGTGGTTCGGCATTTTCCCGTTCCAGCAAAAGGCTCGACGGCAGTGTTCCAGGATGTGGTGGGTTTCAGCCCGGCAAGCGTTCTCCCTATAAAAAGCCACATATGTCCGTTTAACAACATTGTGACGTGGCGGATGTGACTCGCCACTAAATAGTCACTGACCCTTGCTTCATCCTGGCGAAACAGTATTCCAGAAACGTTATGCCGTAATTCTGGGGGAGCATTGGGCCGCTGTTTAAAAAAGGAACAAACAAAAGGCGTATGAACTGAGCAATCAGTCAAAGGCTCCCAATGGGCGCGATTAACTGAATTCGCTCCGCTGCTTTGCGGGCAGGCTATTCAGCCAGAAGCTCGGGGCGATGTCCCCTAAGTTAACACCCTACCTCAGCTTGGGCAACAGGGTAGTATCTCGCCCTCTGACGAAATCATGGACTCCGATGTGTTGTGTTGCGTTTTCTTTTACTATTTCTGTACCTTCTTTTGAGTCCCATGGTTTCTGATGGCTCTATGTCTATTCGTAGACTGTTGCAAATATATATATATATATATATATATATATATATATATATATATATATATTAGAGAAAACTGCCCACAAGTCAGCGATATCCGGTACGCCTGTGCTGATGTAAACATAAGCTCGTGTTTAAACGGACACGTAAGTAACAAGAGGCAGCACATATCAAACCCTGAGATTGAAGGGATAGCTTCAAAACGGTAAATGTCAGCCAACAGCACCATTTTGGAAAGACTACTGGATTTTACGCGATTGCTATGGAGGAGTTGGCTGGGTTTTCATAGCCCCGAACATCTCACAGTTGTCATTCTTCGGCAGCTTAATTGTTCTCGTGGTAATTGAATCAGTGAGGGGGCCAGACGGGGTTCCGCCCCTGCATATGATGCATTGATACATATTGACTCGACATCAGGTGCTGGAACAACAACACGCATACAGATGCCCCACCATGGGGGGTTTCCCTCGACCTCAAAGCAGTCAACTAAGTAAGTGAATTGGACCAGTTTGTAATACAGCGTGTCCGCACCAGATAAAGCCCTTTATGCTCTGAAGCCACTCCGACGCGAGGTACAAGTGCGGCTCGGGGTAAACAGGAAACGATCTGCTGAATTTCCACTGAACACGGAGTGCACCAGGACTGTGTACATTCCCCTGAAAACGTATAACCGAGATGAGCGTAAAACAGTTTTGTCCTCTCAGTCCCATCTGCAGTGGAGGTTTTGCCAAGTAGCCCACGGATAACCCGTGAAGATGAGGACGACTTAGTTTCCCTTGGATCGCACCCAGTAGCTATAAGCAGTAGGGCAGAATAAAAAACGCGTAGCGCTCAAGTGTTAGGCATGTAGTTTTTACTTTCAAAGTGCATACCACTGTCGCGGAACGAGACTAGCACGTCACCCGTTCTGGACATTAAGGCACAGTCACTAGAGCTAGTCGATCAGTTCATTTGCTTCGATAGTTGTCACATTACGGTGAATTTGCGTAGCAACAAGGCCCGTATGGCTTTCCAAAGCCTCTGTCATCTAGGAGGACGGTGGGATGCCAACCTGTCAAAGGCAGAGTAAAGCTGTGATAAAGTCGATCAGAGGCTTGAATATTTCGCGCTGGACATGACAAAAGACTGATCCAGTTTGGTCGTCGATGCATGCAGAGCGTTGCTTAGATCATGTGGGACCACCGGCTGATCGACACTAGTCCACCAATAAGTATTTGGAAAGAAAAACCTCTTGGTGCCTACTAACTTCGGATAGGTCATGTCTATCGTATACTTACTGACTGAGTACTTAAGCGTGCATTGTTTAATTAGGCGGAACCGAAGAGTAGTCAGACTAGGACGTGGCAAAATGCATTGAATGGCAAGCCCCATACTTGGTTGCTTTGAACCGTCTTCGTAGATGGGGGAATTGAAATGATCCACATCAGTGACTAGATACCTACCTTATCTGGAATGATGCAGCCATGGTGTTAGTGGCACTCTTGCATGCAGTGTTTTATCCACTATTCTTTCTTAATCCCTTCGTTCTGTCTCGTTTTCCGAATCGCTGTGAAATGTACTCAGCTTGGTGACGGGAACAATGCCAAGTGGACCCAATGGACTTCAATGCTTGGATCAAAAAAATGTCTTATTGGAGCACATATGGAGGCTATATGTTAAGAAATAGTGGCGAAGAGTAGGGTGGTGCAGAGTCAAAACTTACTGGTTGCTATTTCAATTGGTAAAAGAGGGGACGACATCCCAGCAGTTTCGATACAGCCAGACCCGGCCATGGATAGCTGATGTGTAATGCAAATCGTGACCTCGGGAGACCAACCACTGTCCTCTGCAATGGTAGGAACTCACATGGCAGTGGAGGATGGGTTGCGCTATATCTCAGCTTGCAAATTCAGTCAGTGGCTTAGACTAGTTGGCGTAAGATGCTAGCAGTCATATGTTCGATTCCCTGAAGGGGACCGCGGGAGTGTGTATCACTGTACGAAACAGCTGTCTTACGCTTTTTTCGAACTGGCGGTTAGACTATCTGGTTTGTGAGCTGCTGGGACGAACCAGCTATTGACTAGCGATCAGTTTTCAAATGCAACGCTGTTAAGACGAATCTAGAAAATTTGAAAAAGCGTCGGATAATCAGTTCGCCTCAGTGGAGATGATCAACGGTGCAAATTCTATCCGAATTCTGTGGGATTCGAACTCACGACTTAACTGCATGCACACACCATTGAGCTATAAAGCTGGGTCAGGAGTGGCGGCTACAGTCTACGTGACAAAGTCGACAACAGGGAAATAGAAGACGCCATCTCTTTCACATCCGTGTAATCTGCCGCTATGCAGGGCACAAGGTTGGTAAGGAGAGTCAGATCTCTTTGATACCCCCCCAGCGATTATACCGCAACTTTGAGAATGGCTCCAAGGGAATGGTAGGGGTATAGAAAGCACTCAAAATATAGTTAACAAAGTTGTAGAATCACTGGATGACTACCTCATTTAATAGTAGTTTACATGCGCCCGTTTCGTATTTCGAAGCATCGGAAGCATTGTTTCAATAGGTCAGTGGATAAGGGGTCCGGATTGTATGAAAAACCCGGAGGGATACTTTTATTGTGATGAGATGGATGAAGTTCCATTATAAAACGGAAACACACACAATAAAAAGGTTTAACAGGATCTGGTACGACGTTCTACTCGCACATGTCCTCAAGGTGATAAATTCATGAACAATGTTTAAAAAGCTAATAGACATTTTAAAAAACAGCATAAACTACACTCCATCATCGCAATATATCCTTTGGTAGATAAAAGCCGTAACGTGTTGAACGGAAAGAGCACTACGAACCTTCTCATTCAATCCACCCAAATCGGCTTCTGAAATAGAAGGCTCCGTCGAAAGGCTGTGAAGAAGCTCCCCATTATCAAGAACAGATGTCCAGTCGTCATCTTCAAAGTGGATCATTTCGCCTTTCTTGTTCTCATTCAACCAGTTGAGCAGGTGCATTCTGCTGAACCTCCCGTTCTCCACCATCTGCTCCAAAGCATCGATAGCCGGCGGCAGACTGGGTTCCATTGGCAGTTCCGCAAACGCATTCGACGCGATCTGCTGCTGCTGCTGCTGTTGTGATAACAAATCTAGTATTCCAAACCGGCAGCGTTCCTCAGCGTAGATTTCTTCCAGAATGAAGAGCACACCCCGCATTGGCTCACCACACAGTGGTCCGCGCTCAGTTGCGAGTTGAAAACCGCGCAGCAACGCCTTTCCATAACTGACCAAAGGCAAGCTTAAATTGGGTCTGTTGCAAGGAGGTGGACGTGGTGGACCGTTTTCGTACGCATACACTTGTTGTCCCCATGCGGTGAAAATTGGCAAGTGGTCTGTCTTCAGACGACTGAAAAACATATTAGGTCCTGTTTGTCCGGGCCCCAAAGCCAGAAATCGAGGGGCCATGTTGCACCAATCAATGGACGAACCACTGGGTCGGTTCGCTTCAGTTTGAACCAAAGAAGAGCATAGTTGTGAGAACTCCGTGTTGAATGCGGCAACTAGGGAATCGTAAACAGCGGCCTACATGATTGGGAACAAACGCAAGGGAAAATAATTAGCGGCTGAAATAACACAGTGAAAAGTTACAGATGTATACAGGTTGGCTGTATTCAGCCACCATGGGATACCGGAGATTTTAGTCACCGACAATGGTTCCCAATTTACTTCCTACCAGTTTGCCGAATACTGTTCGCAGATTGGTATTACACATTTATGCACACCCCCGTTCCATCCCCAATCCAACGGATAAGCTGAACGTTTCGTTGATACCTTCAAGCGTACATTACTTAAAATGCGGGGTGAGGGGACTACGCAGGAGATATTAGATAGTTTCCTACTTATGTACAGATCAACTCCAAACCCTCAAGTGCCAAACAACGCGTCACCCTCAGAGGCTCTAATGGGAAGGAAAATCCGCACGGTTAATTCGTTGCTACTGCCGAAGAACATTAGTCCACAAGACAGAAATATAAAGATGGAGAAGTATTATAATCAGCGAAATAGAACTCAAGAACGTCATTTTCATGCGGGGCAGAAAGTCTTGGTCAGAGATTATCGCACAGGTAAACCTCTTTGGACAACGGGTACGATTCAGAACCAAATGGGAAGAGTGATCTATAAAGTCAGGGTCGGAGATTTTATTTGGACTAGGCATGCAAATCAGTTGAGATTTACCAATATCCAACAGAGTACAGATAATGGAATTCTGCCGCTTGATTTTCTCTTAAACACTTTCGATATACCCCCTAGAACGCCACGCGTGCCTGACGAGGAATGTGCGACAGTCCCGGAGAAAAAGAATTTGCAACCAAGACGTACTGATCGCATCCGGAAGCCAACTATGCGACTAAAGGTAAACCCACAAAAACGTTCGTATGACTAACAATTCCTTTTCGCGGGGGGAGATGTAGACTCACAGCTATGCAAAGGCGGAATGTCCAAAAAGTATAACTTGGCTGGCGAATTGCTTGGACTTTTTTGTAACTGTGCACATACCGGAACATGAGTTGCTGGGAAGGCAAGTGTGTTTATTTTGTCACAATGAACCATGTTTTGTACCAGAACAATTCTTGTCCGCAATCCGAACACTGTTATGTGTTATGATACACTTGCTCCTTCCACCTGTTCTTACAACCACACAAATACCTCCTGGGTCCTAGTTAAATGAATGAGCAACCGACAGTGAATGACTGGTTGAGTGCCTCCTTCCTCCCCGCTCCGTGTGTGTGTGCTGTATCAATAAAACTCATTGGTGTGGCAGCCCTTCTGTGTTCTGAAATGGAATCAACTGTGGGATCATACTTGCCCCAGTGGTAGAGAGGTTCAGAATAGTTTAAAGTACACAGCAAAAGTTGAATGTTAGTGGCTGATGATCCCTGACCTATGGGTTATCGGGACTCACAGATAAGAAACGAAAACCACCACACATAGCCAAAGAAATTGTGTTAAGATTAGCGAAACCCACCTGGATCTTGAAGGCACGGATGAGTTGTGAAACCTTCCGAGCGCCGCGTGTTTCTACCCACTGTAAAAGTTTCTCAGGAAGTGGATGAACCGACACTCGGATAATGACTCTGGTCCGAGTTTTGCTGTGTGGCAACTGAAAGTGTCCCACAGGGAGATTAGTGGGATCGATAGAAGGAGCAAATGCATCATGCATGGATTCTTTCTGAATGTAAATCTTGCATCCGGATGATGTTGGGGGGTACAAATCCAGAGGTGTGTCGTTTGGCCCGCACGTGAAGCAGACGGCCTCGGTGATCGGGGCCAAGGGCTCGGTGACAATAGCTACGGGGTCATCCGATCCCAAAAGAATGGATTCCAATCTAGATCTGACTTTCTCGATAGATTCCGATGTATTCGTTGCCAAAGAGTGAGTCGGAGCAGGTGACGACTCAATCACTGTCTCTCGAAACGGCACGACAAAAGGGGATATATGCAGCTCCATATTCGGAACGAAATAATTAGTCATGTCTTCCAGACACTTTTGCAAATGTACTTCACCAGCAGCTCTAATGAAATACTCGCCAGTGGGTGAAATTTTCACCTGTTTGAGGATAAACAACAATAAAGCGGAGAAGAATGAAGCCAAAGAGAAAATCCTGTAGTGGAGACTAATTTTCAGTATCGCGCTCTCTCAACGTCATGCATTACAAGAGCCGAAACATGTAATTATTGGTGAGTTTCATAGTGGCTAAGCCGTAAGCTCTGCGTATGTAGTTTATCATGACGACAGGTGAATATAATTTCTGTTTAAAGGAAGCTCACACCCATGAAAAGAATCCTGCTTGAGCTCGTAAATAAAGAGAAACTGCTTCACATGTACAAGAGCAGGTAGAGCAAGATAGAACCTGATAGTCAGCACTAACAAAACAACTGTAAAAAAATCCGTCCGATGGCCGAAAGGGTCACGTGACTGCGTTGTTATCGGGAGGCCATCGGTTCGAATCCGCATAGGTACGGGTGACCCCACGGCATGCTGATACTCGCTTGCTTTGCTACCATACAT